AAAAGCTGGTTCTTCAAAAGGATAAACAAGACTGATGGTCCCCTAGCTACACTGACCGAGAAAAAGAAAGAAAAAAACCCAAATAAGCACAATCAGAAACACAAAAGATGAAGTCACATCTGACCCTGAAGAAATACAAAAGATCATTAGAGACTACTATGTACACTTGTATGGAAACAAACTTGAAAACCTCAAGGAAATGGAGGAAATTTCTGTCATCACACAACCTACCTAGGTTGAAACAAGAAGAAACTGAGACCCTAAATAGACCAATAACAATCAAGGAAATTCACTATGTAATAAGTAAACTACTTACAAAAAAAGCCCTGGACTAGATGGCTTTCCAGCAGAATTCTACAAGACATTTAAGGAGGAATTGATTCCAATCCTACTGAAGCTATCTCAGGTGATTGAGAAAGATGGAACCCTCCCCAAATCATTTTATGAAGCTAACATCACATTGATACCCAAGCCAGGTAAAGATCCAAAAAAAAAAGAGAACTACAGACCAATATCTTTGATGAACATAGACACTAAAATTCTCAACAAGATCCTAGCAAACCGGATTCAACAACACATCTCAGAAATCATCCAATATGACAAAGTAGGCTTCATCCCTGGGACACAAGACTGGTTCAACATTTGTAAAACAATAAATGTAATGAAATACATCAACAGATGTCAAAACAAAAACCACATGATTATATCATTAGATGCAGAAAAAGCTTTTGATAAAATCCAGCTCCCTTTCTTGATAAAAAACCTCGAACATCTAGGCATACAGGGAATATACCTCAAAGTAGTAAAAGCCATCTACGAGAAACCCACAGCCAGCATACTCATAATTGGACAAAAATTGGAACCATTTCCCCTGAAAACTGGAACAAGACAAGGATGCCCACTCTCACCCCTCCTATTCAATATAGTATTGGAAGTCCTGGCTAGAGCAATCAGAGAAGAGAAGGCAATCGGGGTATCCAAATAGGAAAAGAGGAAGTCAAATTATCTCTCTTTGCAGATGACATGATTGTGTACCTTGAAAATCCAAGAGAATCTGTCAAAAACCTCCTTACACTGATAAAGGCCTTCGGCAAAGTCTCAGGATATAAAATAAATGTGCAAAAGACAATCGCATTTCTTTACACCAATAATAAACAAACAGAAACCCAAATAAGAAGCACAATTCCATTCACAATAGCCACAAAAAAAGATGAAATACCTTGGCATCTTCCTAACCAGAGACGTGAAAGACCTTTACAATGAAAACTACAAAACTCTGCCCAGAGAAATCAAAGATGACACAAACAAGTGGAAAAATATCTCATGCTCATGGATTGGAAGAATCAACATTGTGAAGACGTACATCTTACCTAAGGCACTCTACAGATTCAATGCAATACCTATCAAATTACCAGTAACATTCTTCTCAGACCTAGAAAAAACAACACAGGAATTCATATGGAAACACAAACGACCAAGAATAGCCAGAACAATCCTCAGCAAAAAAAAAACAAAGCAGATGGTATCACATTACCAGACTTCAAACTTTACTATAAAGCTACAATCATCAAAACAGCTTGGTATTGGTATAGGAACAGGTGTATAGATCAATGGAATAGAATTGAGGTTCAGGAAGCAAAACCTCAATTTCTCAACCAACTCATCTTCGACAAACCCTCCACCACCTATCACTGGGGAGAGAAGAACCTATTCAGTAAATGGTGCTGGGAAAACTGGCTGACCACATGCAGAAGATTGAAACAGGACCCCTATCTATCCCCATACACAAAAATTAACTCCAAATGGATCAGAGACCTAAATGTAAAACCTCAAACCATAAGAACCTTAGAAAATGAAGGACATACCCTCATGGAAATCGGAACTGACATCCAATTCCTGAACAAAACTCGAAACCCACAGGCCATAAGGTATAAGATAGACAAGTGGGACCTCATTAAACTGACAAGCTTCTGTAAAGCCAAAGAAACCATCAAGAGAGCAGGAAGACAGCCTACAGACTGGGGAAAAGTATTTGCTAACTCCAGGTCTGACAAAGGTTTAACATCTTGGATCTACAAGGAACTCTAACGTGCTAAAAGAAAAAAACAAATAACCCCATTATAAAGTGGGCAAAAGATGTGAACAGACACTTCACAAAGGAAGACATCCGAGCAGTCAACAGACACATGAAGAAATGCTCAACCTCACTAATCATCAGGGAGATGCAAATCAAAACCACACTGAGATACCACCTAACTCCAGTCAGAATGGCAATTATCAATAATTCAAAAAATAATAGCTGTTGGAGAGGGTTGGTAAAAGAGAACATTCCTACACTGTTGATGGGAGTGTAAACTAGTGCAACCTCTGTGGAAAGCAGTGTGGCGATTCCTAAAAGCTCTAAACATAAACCTCCCATATGACCCTGCAATCCCCCTACTGGGAATATGCCCTGAAGAACTTAAATCACTCTATCAAAAAGATACACACAAATGTTTATCGCAGCATTGTTCACAATAGCAAGAACGTGGAATCAACCACGCTGTCCATCAAAAGAGAACTGGATTAAAAAAATATGGTACATATACACGATGGAATACTATGCAGCCATAAAAAAGAACAAAATCATGAATTTCACAGCAACTTGGATGGAGCTAGATCTATAATACTGAGTGACCTCTCACAGAAACAAAGATCTGAGTATCACATATTCTCACTCGTATAGTGGATCTTGATCATCCAACACACTACCATAAGAAAATGACTGACAGTGGTAGGAAACCATGGGGGTGGGATGGGACTAATGGTAGTAAACATCTGTATGGGGACAGGAAGACACGTGTTATCAACAAGGGGACTTAAATGAAGCATATTTGTATACCTAACCCTTAACTGTACCCCACAATATCAAAATAAAAAATATTGATAAAAAAAGAAAGATACAAACTGAAAAAAAAAAATTGGAACTACATAGTAAAGTGAGTGTATTTTCCTCAAATAGTATTAAAATGGTCAACTGTAGAACTAATCTTTGATGCTAGGACTCTGGAGCCTCCTGACTTTCATTTTCAGTTCCCACTTACTCAGGGTCCAGAATCCATGAGAGTTAATGAGTCTCTCTGGACCTGAGATGGTCACCCAGGGGTTTATCATATAAAAAGAGTTTGTTGAACATGCACAGGAGCATTTACTTGCATAAGCCAGTTTGTCAGTTGGCATGGGCATTTGCAGTTTACATTATGGCATATTCTTTAAACTGAATGAATGCAAAGTGAACACATAAAATTCTGATATCTAGGCTATTTCTTGAATTTTGGATTGGGAATAAAAAAGAAAAGAGAATGAATGTCTATGCATTTAGGAATTGTTACACTCACAATGTATATTGTATATATTATTTTTACTTGAAAGAACATGAAGAAATTATCATGATTATACAGCCTTATGGGCTCTACTTTATGGAAAGAGTATATTGAAAGGAAATTGAAAATAAGAATTCTATTCTAGAGTCCACACAATGTGTGTTCCAAGAGCATGTTCTGACCCTAAAAGCCATGAGTCTATTTGGCAGGACAGAGTTCAGAAGACAATTCTTGATCCCATGCATTTAGGAGTTAGACTGGAGACAGTAGAATAAATCAGATTATCGATGCTCTGTATTCTCAATCCAGACCTTTCTAAGATTTCACATATTAACACTAGAAAAATTAACTTCCACTCTTGAAAATATTAAAACAAAATCCAGTGAGAAAAAGTGAGCAGAAACAATAAACAAATGAAATTTTGTCATTATAAGATACAAAACTTGAAGACCTATGTTTAAATGAACACAAAAGGAATTGAAACATGAAGAATAGACTGTCAGAAAACATTGATAACATTAAAATAATCAAGTCACATTCCTAGAAATGATTAAGATTATCACAGAAGACAAAATGAAAATTTAAATAAGAGATTAGCTGCCTCTAAAGAGATTATTAGCAGTGTCCAAAACATCTGAAAAAACTACCTAGAGTATATCACAGAAAATTAAATATAAAATATGACAAATGTAAGGGATAGGGAAGGACACACTAGCAATTTCTAGTATATTACTATATATATTTTATTAGAACTCCCCTTTGGGCTTTATATAATTGAAGTTTCAGAAAGAGGAAATAGGAAAAATTGGATGTATGGTATTGTATATGATGATAGCTGAGAATTTTCCAGCTACCATCATATAGCTGGAGCCTATATCCTCAGTTTCAAGAATCCAAGTGAAACTCAAAACAAATAGTTATGTCAAAACTGTGGAACATAAATGACAAAGAAGAGTTTTAAAAATTATCAAAAAGGAAAGATAAATATCTCCTATTTGAATAGAATGAAAGAACTAGTAATAGTCAAGAAAAGGTTTAAAACAATAATTCAAAATGAGTTCTCATCATTAAGCTTTGAGACTTATGAAGATAAATTTACAGGGGGGGGGGGAAACCTCTGTGATTATGCCACCATGGCATCTTTTCTTAATTACGGTTATCAAACATGGGAAATGTTCCCAGGAGAAAGGCATGAAATATAGCATGTAAAAGAACCATTTAACATGACATCCTTTGAGCATTTATAATGGGGAGAATGAGGGGCACGAGTAGGGAGGTCACAAGAAATCTTGACTTCAGAAGGACAATGAACTCACCTTTGGTGTCTTGTGTTGGAGGCGCTGATGAAACTTTCTAGTGAACATTCTAGGCAAACAGAGGAGCAACCATGGGAGAATATAAACTCAGAGATGCAGTATGAGGCTCCTGCGTCCAGAGAGCATCAAAGCCGAAGCCCATGACCCATGCATTGATTTTGTTGGAAAGGAACTTACAGATATCAAAATTAGTCATCCAAGTGTATTCCAATACAGATTGTTTGTTCCTGAAGTCAAGTGCATTGAGAAAGGAAGTGATGTCACTTTGGTATCTGCTGTCTGAGGACAAGAATGTTTCTCCTACTCTCCTCACAAGAACCCTGATCTGCTACACTCTTCCTGCCCTGATCCTGCCATGGGCACCAGGCTCCTCTGCTGGGTGGCCCTCTGTCTCCTGGGGGCGGGTGAGTCCTAAGAACACTAAGCAGTCTCATTGTGTACCTGTGTGTGCATATTTGTGTGTGTGTGTGTGTGTGTGTGTGTGTGTGTGTGTGTGTGTGTGTGTGTCGGTGGTAATTACAGACTACAGTTGTTTTCCTCTTTCTGTTCCCAACTTCTGTCTCCACAGATCACACAGATGCTGGAGTCTCCCAGTCTCCCAGATACAAGGTTACAGAGAGGGGGCGGAATGTAGCACTCAGGTGTTATCCAAGTTCTGGTCATACTGCCCTTTTTTGGTACCAATGGACCCTGGGGCAGGGCCCAGAGTTTCTGATTTATTTCCAAGGCAAAGATGCAGCAGACACCTCAGGGCTGCCTGGTGATCGGTTCTCTGCCGAGTGGCCTGAGGGATCCTTCTCCACTCTGAAGATACAGCCCACAGAGGAGGGAGACTCGGCTTTGTATCTCCGTGCCAGCAGTTTAGCCACAGAGTAACACAGTCATCTCCTTCCTGCTCACAAACCTCACACCTCTCTCCTTGCAGTTCTTAGAGACCTTTAATACAACACAGTACTCAGTTGTAAATACTGGTGGTGAGAGAAGACGTACCAAAGGCAAACAAGGCTTCCTATTTATATTGATAACAACATACAAGGCCAGCAAAGAGAAGACTTTACTAATGACTAAGTAAGAAGGAATAGGGTTTCTGCTCAAATGAAATTATGCCATCTCCTTGAGACAAGAGAAGCACTGCAATTAAGCTATTTCAAGTCAAAGACTAGGAGCTCCCAAACCCGGCAACATAACTCTTCACTCTGTGATCTCAGCAGTATCAGAGGATTCAGCAATCCCTTCTCTGCACAAATGTCTCTTTCCATTCCAAGACACAGGGTCACACCCTCTGACCCTATCATGAAAATAATGTTCCGTGCTATAGTTGCTGGTAGCTCATCTTAGGGGGTTGAGTATTAAGCACTGAAGAACTTTGACAACTTTATCTTGATCCTGGGAATGCGCTGGAGTCAGCTTGTCTAATTCAGAAGAACCAAATAGGCAAACTCTCCCCAAATCCCTGTTCAGTGAAGCCGTAGTGACAGCTTGAAATCAGCCATGGTGGGTAGGTTTATACCATGGAAATTGGTAAGGCTACTAGGCATCCCCCTACCTTCACAGATGCTCAGTTTATCCTGACATCACTGCAGTATTTAGAGACAATGATGTCCCTGTTAGTCCAAGCCTTGTGGGGCCCAAAGCGTTCAGGATGCACCTTCCCTCTGCTCTTACTCCCAGAAGTTATGGTCTAGGGCAGGGGATCCCAACACACAGACCATGAGCTGGTGCCTGTCCATGGCCTATTAGGAACCAGGCCACACAGCAGGAGGTGATCAGCAGGCGAGCAAGTGAAGCTTCATCTGTATTTATAGCCACTCCCATTGCTTGTGTGACCACGTGAGTTCTGCCTCCTGTCAGATCGGCAGCAGCATTAGTTTCTCATAGGAGTGCAAACCCTATTGTGAAATGCACAGGACTATCTAGTTGCAGAAAAACAAACTCAGGGCTTCCACTGATTCTGCATTATGGTGAATTGCATAGCTATTTCATTTTATATTACAGTGTAATAATAACAGAAATAAAAGGCTTGAATCATTCTGAAACCATCCCCCCTGACCCAGTCCATGGAAAAATTGTCATCTATAAAACTGGCCCCTAATGCCAAAAGAGCTGGGGACTGCTGTTCAAAGGGGCCCTAATTGATCCTATTCCTATCTAACCTCCAAGTTACCTGACTCTGTGGGTCTGTGTCTCTCATGAGCATGCCAGTTCTGGATAGTGACAATTTAGCTAAGGGCAACACTGAACTAGGCCTTTAGTTACACATTATATTTCTTGCATAGAGCATACAGATGCTGGGGTCACTAGTAACAGAGATGGGACAAGCAGCAGATCTAGGCTGGAACCAATTTATAGTCCTAAGTCAAGAGAGTCCTAAGTCAAATCCCCTGGCATATTCTGCTCTATGGTGCTGACAGACCCTGGGGCAAGGACTAATTTGCTTTGAAAACTAGACAGCTCCAGACCAGGCAGGAATGACCCCAGATCTATTTTTGGCTGAGGCGTTGGAAGGATCACACTTTCCTTAAATAACTTCTTCTCCAAGACGCAATATTGGCTACTCCATCTCATTCCCCAGAGGATGTCCATAGCTCCCAGAGAATCACCAGGTTCTTTATCCCCATTTCCCCACAGACTCCAGCATGACTTGTCTGCCCAGGTGCGGGGCATGGATGTGACTCTGTCTGTCTTTCAGGTAGAGGAGACCTATATGATATCTGTGTAAGGGATATTGAGTTTCTGAAGCTCCTCTCAAATATGTGACAAAGCTTTCTTTGCTTTTTGTTTTATTCCATATTCTCACCAATTAGGAGTGCAAATCCTTTGTGGTTGCATTGCTTTTGGAACTTGGGAAGTTTTTTGTATTTAACTAAAATTAAGAAATAATTTCAATCATGCATGTTTCTGCTCAGATTTATCCAGGATGGCAAAAAAATAATAATTTTAAAAGTAGACACTTTACATGTCTTATAAAGAAGATGCTGTTTAAGGTTCATTACCCACTCCTGACTTTTGACCTAGTTGTATGAAAAGGCACAGAGTTAGCATGTGATCAAGTTGTGAGAGAGGACTATGACAATTACTGTGGGATTTAAAGAGAGGAAGAGAGTTTCCCTCCTTTAGACTGGGTTCATCAAAGAAGGAATGCGTGCATTGGTCTTTCAGAACCAGAAAAGGAGTGAATGACAGGATCCTCTAACTGGGGTGGCGCAAGAGCTACAGGGCAATATCTTCAGGATAGAAATTGTTCATTTGGCTGTCACAGATGACAGTAGAAAGAGAGTCCTAAGTCAAATCCCCTGGCATATTCTGCTTCCCTATCATACTATTTTGCACCAGCATGTCCTTATCTCCCACCACGCCTCTGCCACTACCAGAATCATCCCTTCTCTCCCTGTTGCTAAGATCAGCAGCTATGCGCTGTACAGGCTATTCATCCCTGTAGAAGGCCCTGTGCTGATCTTGGTCCACCCATCCTTATTTCCCATTAGATATTGCTTCCTCCACCATAGTGTATTGCCTTGTAAGAGATGCTAATTTTATATTCAAATTACACTTTTAACACACATTTGGCTTTATCTTTAGCATAATCCCATTTTCTTCCCAGTCTCTTACAAATCTATGTTTTTGAAATAACATTGATTGTTACTTTGGTGGCTTGTTTGCTTATTTTTTGTAAGCTTATACCTTGACGTGTGTGTTTTCTTCTTCATTTACACTAAATATTATTTTCTTCCATTCTGTTACTCTTTCTATACATTGATAGATTTAAGAGAGAAAATGTCACTTGGATTATAACTGCTGATGTATGATAAGAGTTATTTAGAATATAGATAAGATATTAAGTTTGGTAACTCAAAAAATCTGAAAAAATAGATTTATAACTAATATTGGGATTAGGCTTAGGGATGATTTTTTTTTTTTTTTTTTTTTTTTTTGAGTCAAGAGTCTCACTCTGTCACCCAGGCTGGAGTGCAGTGGCATACTCATGGCCACACCAGCATCAACTCACTGGGCTCAGGCGATCCTTCCTCCTCTGCCTTCCAAGTAATTGGAACTACAGGCACACACTACCATGCCAGGCTAATTTTTTGATATATTGTAGAGACGAGGTCTCACCTATTGCCCAGGCTGGTCTTGAAACTCTGGGCTCAGGCAATCGTCCTGCCTCGGCCTCCCAAAGTGCTGGGATTACAGGCTTGAGCCACCATGCCCGGCCAAGGAAGATTATCTTAAAACCTGAAGGACAGTACTTCTGATATGTTCTTCAAGGGGAACTATGCAGTCACTTCCAAGTACCCTTGAAGACATTCAGAAGGAATTTTGATGAAACTTCCTGTATTGACCACAAGGTGACACTGTAGTCCACTAGGATCTTAGGGGCACTGGGGACAGTCTGGAAGAGCGTCTAGGAGGGAAAGAGGTAAGAAAAATGAGTGCTTGGATCTAATATTATACAAATGCTGAAGCAGTCTTCAGTTATGTAGGCTACCTACACCTATGCAAGAGGTGAGAGATCCCTCTAAACTTCAGTGAGATTCACAGTTAACAAAATTTGGCAAGGATACCTTGACGTCAGGGCAGGTGCAGACAAGGATCCACTGCCTCAGAGGAACATCAGAAAGCAAGTAGGTGTGCTGTGCCCCAAACCCAGTGCCTCACAGCCACGTCCTATCTTCCTTGCAGGCTTTGCTAAGCAACAGCCTCCATGAGAGGGGAGGCACATCCTTCCTGATTTCAGTCAGAAGGAGCCTGGACCAGGGAGAATATGCAGGCATGAGGGTGACATCCTAGGTCCACCGGCATGTCAGCAAGAGAGCAGCTTCAGAGTCAATGCTCACACTCCTGAGGACAACAGCATTTAGCTAGGCGATCCTTCTCCTTTCCTTGACCCTCCATGGACCCCAAACTCCTCTGCATGACCCTTTATCTCTTGGGAGCAGGTGAATTCTGGGCTCAGTTGAAAAACTCAGTTACAGGTTAGCAAAGTCTGGACTCCAAGTCCTTCTTTCCCTTTCCTCTGCAGATTTCTGCCCCTTCTAATGTCTTGTCTTCACGTTCTCTCTGCTTCTTCTGCAGGCTTCATGAATGGGGCTCACCCCAATACCAAGATACCACATTATACAGACAGGAAAAAAAGATGACCCTGGAGTGTTCTCAGGTTAGGAACCATTATTTCATGTTCTGGTATCACCAAGTCCCAGGACAGGGGCCGAGGCTCATTCATTATTCAGGTAGTGTTGGCAGCAAAACCTAAGGTGGTATCACAGAAGGGGACAATGTTGTGCCCAACCTCTCTGTCCCTCTGTGGCAGTGCATCCATAGCCCTCACAGCCAGCTGCTTTCCTCACAGAAAGGGCAGTCACAGGCTGGAGGGGGGTACTTCTTCCTGAGGCCTCTGTCTCAAACAGGAGGAAAAGCTGCCCCTTCTGAAGCTCTTCCCAGACTTCCCAACTATGGGCTCTCAGTGTAAAAGTCCTCAGGCAGCACAAACCTTCGTGTGAGCTGAGGTCCACCATTGTGGTGTGTGTACACAAAAGCAACTGCACTTAATATTATTTTGTTCAATTTGGCATATTGTGGCAATTGTGTAAAGTAGAGGAATAATTGCCTCCTACATGAAATTTGTATTTTATCTCCTTTTAGTGGAAAAGAAAAAAGCAGAAAGCAACTGAGCAGCTTTAAGCTGCCTGAGTGATCTGGGATTTTTCAAGTCTACAAGTTCACTTAAGATCACCTTGGCTTTGACACCATTGGATACCAAGTTTGTGTTCTCTTGATAGCACATTTTGTAACATATGATAAAGCAAACCTCTTAGGGGTAATTCTAGTAGATGCACCAAATAGTGCCATTACGCCTGAAGACAATCAACTAGTAGAAT